CTTCGAGTTGAGCAAGCTCTTGCTTCAGCGTGAAAGCTTTAGCAGTAGTCGTTGAAAAAATTTCAAAAAATTTCAATTTTTAAAAATTCAAAAGAGCTGTTCAAACATATCAGCTCCTTTCAAAAGAGCTGTTCAACAGTTCTTTCGCTCAAATGAGCTGAACTTATGAGCTGGAACTGTTACATGTCTACTCGGCATTTTCCATATATTATCACTATAAATTGTTCGTTTGACAAAATAAATAGAGATTCGGATAGCCCGTCAAATTCTCTACAACCCTCTATAAGTACATCTTTAATTGTATTTGTCTGTTGAAAAAAAATCAACAGCAACAAAGACACCTTCATCATCCCATTCCCCGGTGATGTGTGTGTTGCTACATTTTTATCGATTTTTTTCAACTTATCATCAATTTATTTCAAAACTAAATTGGCCATCTGAAAGGCCGTGAGAAACTCTGTCACCCTCTACTGGTCCAGCCACGATTAGCTATTATTTGATCACAAATATTTGGCAGATGATTTATCCCCCTGACAAAAAATAGTTAGACTCGATATTTTCAGTAGATCATTACTATAAATTCACATTTTGAGAAAAATAAGTATATGTTCGGATAGCCCGTTGAATTCTTTACAATCCTGTTGTTCGCTAAAAATAATTATAAGCACAAGAAAGGCACCCTCATCCTCAGATTCTTCAGAAATTCACTTTTTCTCGTTATTCTTTCAAATTGTTTTTTTTCGTTTTCAGAAATTTTTCATTTCTTTTTAATACAGAAACGAGTCATTAAAAAACTAAGTACATATTCTGAAAGCGCATGAAAATCTCTATCTCCCTGTATCGTAAAAATTTCTGAAAACGAGAAAAAAACAATTTGAAAGAATGACGGAAAAAAATGAATTTCCGGGGAATCTGAGAATGAAGGTGCCTTTTTTGTGCTTATATTAATTTTTAGCGACCAACTGCGATTCAGAACATACTTATACGGGGTTGTAGAGAATTCCACGGACTATCGGAACATATACTTATTTTTCTCAAAATGTGAATTTATAGTAACGATATAGTGAAAATACCGAGTCTAACTATTTTTGGCCAGAGGGATATACGTCACATTCATTTCATGTTTACTCATTCTTCTAACAAGAAAATCAGACGGGCAATTTTCAATGGTTAATAAAGGTTGGAGAAGCAAATTTACACTTGAAAACGAGCATTCGTCTCCTATATACATTCACATTGTGTATCATCATATTCAGTATTCAACCCGTACTGTGTGACTTTCGTGTCATACGGTTGCTCAATAACAATGACCCATTTCAAGATTTGTGTATTACTTTTAATACAAAATTCATCCCGATTTGGATCTGTCGGATGTCTGTAATATATTGTATCATAAGTCATCCACCATAGATCTGAATTTGATACAAATGGTAACTCTGCGTTTTCAATTTCTCTTACTTCACCCATGAGAACTTCGGCACAAATCACAGCACCTTCACGTCGTGCCTTTCCCATGGTATGATAAATGGACCGAGCAAAATAGATACCAAAACCTAACATTTGTGGGCGTTTAAGACTTAGCTGAAAATCCGTATAAGCAATACTGACTGCGGCTGCTGGACTTGTACGGTGAAATCCGACATATGTACCGAGATGATTGTCATTTATCTGTCGTACTTCAGACCATCGTGCTTGTGGACGAAAAGTATTGTAATGAAAGATCATAATATGTTCCAGATTACGATCAATACAATATTGTGCTGGACACGGTTCATTGCCTAAACGCATTGCATTCCGATGTTCACCCATCAAATGATAGGGGATAAAACGTTTATGTTTTTTCAGGTATCTTCGGCCACCGCAAACAGGTTCTTGATCGCATGATGGCACATAGTGCCACCAAACACGATAATGATAATAATCTAATAATAATATCAGAATGGCTGAGGGTACGGTTATACCACAGGCGACAGCCAATGATTGCGATGAATCATGATTTTTCTCATTACCATCGTGATGAGCTGTTGCGTACAGAATAATGACTAGAAAACGAAGTCCAATAGTGACCAGAGTGAATATCATTCGCGAGAGAAAACGCCATTTGGGTCGAGCAATATAACACGGGCAGTTACAATTAAATATTAGAAAACGCTGAATCGGTTTATTCGAGATTAGATCTCGAAGACGGAGATTTGTGTGACGTCGAGAATCTTGACAAGAATGTGAACGTAGAATTCTACAACCACACCATAGTGATAAAAACAGAATAAACAGTCCCATCGTTGTTGGTACCATAGAGCTGATCCAATCCAGTATGAATGCAGCCACCACTTGTGAATTTTTCCTTAATGACTTAGTTGTATTTATTGAGTTGGAACTATCAAGAAACATTCCAAGGCGAATGAGACCACATATTAGTTCATAAACTGCTAAGACACCATGATAGATTGGTAACGTTTTATAAAAACCCCAACACATTTTTTTGTTGTTCTGTCCTCTTCATGTGTACACCGCTGAATTTTTGTAAAGGTTTTTAATCTTTCTTCTTGTTATTGTTTCTTAGAAACAACGTTATCAGTTTAAGCAATAAAACAGACCAAGCTGTAAGTGTGTGAGACAGAAAGAAAGAAAGAATTGAGTATTTTTTTCTCTACCCTTATAGATAAACAGTATCAGTATACAGTATAAAAGTATTAAAGTGTGCATCATAACTCTTAGACACTTTATATTTCGACTTTTCTCATCAATCGTATTCATGGAACTGAATTAAACCCAGATCCAGATAGCTCTAGCTATCAGATATCTACACCGATTTCAACGTTTTCACCACAAAAATCAGCTTTGCTACACGAAAAATATTGTTTTTTCAGCTACATGAAAGTGAATTCAACGTTTTCAAAAAACAGATATAGGCTTCTTCAGCTTCAAGCAACGCTTTGAACATACAAAATATCCAGAAGCAATCAGTTTTCTATGTGAAAAGATCCTATCTTAATGGTAACGGCAAACGGGTTGCATTAAAGATAGTCGCCTTGTAAGATTGTCGAAGACAACAATGATGAGGGGTGTCTTTATTCGCAAAGCAGGAATTTTAAAAAGAGAATTTTATAGAGCGATATTTTTTGTTCACGATGGTGAACATTTTGGTGTGATTCGTAAAATTAATACCTGTCAGCGGCTTGTCCAAGCGTGACGCTGTGACAGTTTTTACACGTTAATTTTAAAGCAGCTCAAAAAGTAGAAGAGCTAGAAGGTTGGTTCTGGCGGCATTCGATGCAGCTTAGCTTGCTCTATTTATGATATACTGAACTCAGAAAATTTGGGTTAAGTCTCTGGTCTACAGAACCATTTTTCGGGCCGTGACGCTGTGACAAAAGAAGGCCCTTTTTTCCGAGTGTTGCTAATTAAATGCCAATTTCCTGTGAAGTTCGTTTAACAAATGACACGTTCCTAGACAGAAGTTTGTAGAGTAACTAAAGAGCTATCGATTGCTAACAAAAATTTTGCTTCAAACCCTTTGCGTCGATTAGAAAATCCAATTTATCAACGTGACGCTGTGACAGTTTTCGTGACGCTGTGACACTCGTTTTTTTTCTCACCGAGGCTGAGGTCTTTAATGACGATATAATTGTTGGAAGAAACATTCTTTAGCCCTAAAAGAGCGAAATTACTTAAAAAAAGCGAAGTTTCTGCACTCGAAAGTAGTTCTTGAACCTAAGGACTCCTCTAACCAATGGCTGAGCCATCGTTTTCTTCCACCTGAGACACTTGAAGTATAATAATGATAGCCATGAGCTTTCTTCAACGATGGTGGCGCTTAGCCACTAGTATTTAAGAACACGCTATCTCAAATACTAGTGTTTCTCCAGCTCGGGACGAAGATCCTGCCTCCTGGAACTGGGTAGTGTTTTTTTCGTACATTTTTTTTCGCTTTTCTGTGGCCTAATCGTCAAGAACCCTGGCCAAGGCAATATTTTCTTTTTTGCCGGCTTCCAACATTAAAAACACACTCACACTCACACAACACGTATTTACAAACAACCGCTGCAGTGAAAACAAAATATACCGATAATAAAAAAAATTTCTTTAGTCATATTTAATTATTTTCTTTGTTGAACTTAATGAATAATATCTACATTCAAGAGTTTTATTAT